GACCTTCCAGACATGATTGGATCTACGGCTGTGAAAAGCCATCCTGTGTAGCTCTCAGGGTCATGGAGGCAAGCAAGCCATCGCACCACGTCAAGGTGCAGTCTCGTCGTGATGGACCCCCAAACATACCGAGGCTCACGCAGCAAAGACGCCGTCAAATCGATACATGAAAATAAAAGATAATTAGACATCTTTTTGTGCTTTGCTTTTGCACAATTTTTGAACCTAAGGTTGATAACAGACCGACAGTGTGGTCGCGTTTCTCGCTACTATCGGGAACATGACAAATAACCAATGGCGATAAACTTCTTACAATAAAAGTTCCTCGCTACCTGTAGTTATGGTTGGCATGGTATCGGCGATCAGTCGCTGGTGTAACAACCAACGATCTGAGTGTTTGAGTTTGCAAAATAATTGAAATGCTCTACGAAAGAAAATGACTCGATAAAACTCTTGAGAGTAGTGAAATGAACACGAATGCCGACTGCAATCTGAAGATTTCTATGCAATGTGCTATTCAGATTGAAAACTGTTGACATGAAGTCAAGTTAACTACCGACAACTTTATTCACTAGACCTGCTTTTAGCCGGAGCCCTCCAAAGTTCTGTGCAAACCGACTTGCACCATTGTTGCACATTTATTGACCAGCTCATATAATAAAGATAATGATAATAATAATAATAATAATAATAATAATAATAATAATAATAATATACGTCTTCATCATCGTACACCGAAATGCAGTGAAGCGAACTTCACCAATCTCTGCCAACCCCTGAACGTCCATTTCACACACACTAAAACCCTGAGTTGACTGTTTCCCTCTGTTATTTCCGAGTTATATAATGTGGTGTAATTGGCCAGTAGATAAAGCACTGAAACCAAGCTTGTTCGCCACATCTGTTTTTTAATGATTCTATCGGATTCTATCGGGTAGGTGAGAATGTGTAAGGAGGACGGGTATTGGGCCTATTTCGAGAGAGGTAAGAAAGTGAACCTCCGTGGTCAACATTCGGAGTATACAGGCCCACTGTGTCTCCAACGATCCAGTTAGAGAGTCTTTTGGACCCCAACCCGGAAAAGGAGAAATACTTACCACATCTACTCTACCTAATCGCTCTGTCCATTTCTTCATGCCAAATCTCCACGTCATCTCCTGATCTCCACGTGGCTTTCTCCAGTATGGAGTGGCCACTACGGTAGGTGACCGTCAGACATACGCAAAACGTGTCCTAACCAACGGAGCCTATTGAATTGAATTCGATGCGATAGCGAAATCTTGTTGGATGCATTCTCAAACACCCAACGAATTCTAAGTTACTAACCCGCTCACTCCATCTCACGTGAGCCAGACTACGTAAGCATTAATTATCGAAAAGCGAAAAGCAACGGATGAATTCTACCAAAAACTCAAGGTCTCAGAACTAATTGTACACTGGCGCAGCATACGAGGCCTTTCAATTTCAGTGAAATGTCACGTCGTCGGCACAGGTGTTCAAGTCCTGCGTACGCTGCTCGAGCCTTGGAAATGTGGGCGGGTATCTCCTTCGATGTGCTACCGTTGTTGGTCACGCAGCTACCCAATTACAATAAGCATTCAACTTTGGCTAATTGCTGACCAGCTGGTTTCAGAACGGGACTCGGCGACGCCCAGTCTTTCAGCAGCTGATGGCCTACTATTGTGGTTTCCAGATTCTTGGGTTTCTGTTTTACCCATTTTAAGAGACAGTTCTCAGCGCTTCCTGCTATTTGACGGCTTGTTCAATGAAGGACCGACATTGCCATGCTTAGTTACAACTAGTGATGTCGGTAGAGAAACATTTCAAAATTTTTAATATTACAGAGAAAAATTGTTCACGCTCGCAGCAGTGTAGGGTTTTCAGACTCTGGACAAATTTTCACCTCTCATTTGTATTGTTGTCACCGCCTGTTTCAAGGCAACGAATCTCTCGCTTGTTATACATATTTTTCTGTGCTGCATCGACTTTCACATAACCGTAATTCTTTTTGTCATTTCAGGTACACGTTTCACTTCTCATCAGTCGGCGCAGATGATTCCAATCAACAAATCAGCACTGGCATTTGCAGCGACATGTTCAGTCGCGCTTGTGACACTTCTAGGCTATTTTATTTTAAAAAAATATAAACTATCTGTCAATGTTACCGAAAAAACACAAATTTCGAAATCCAGTGGAAAGTTGTCGTGTGTTTCATCATTCAAAAAAGAGAACCTCGAACTGAATGTCGCCCAGGCAATCCATACTCTTCTTTCATCTACTGATGTAGCAGTTAGGCAAGGTTTCCTTCTTATGCTCCACCAAGCATCGGCATTTACTCGGAATTACGTAAGGTTTTTCCCCCCTCACTAAGTTTAGTCCACAGCCCATTATTCGAGATTCCGGTTGTTTAGAGAAAATGCTAAATCTTCTGGACACGGAAACTGTAGATCCTGGTCTTATGCGACAAAACTTGTTAATCTTGCAAACGGTTACAAATCTTGCTTGCGACCAGGTCACACTGAAGACTCTCGAGGTAAATTTATAACATGTCCTCACTTCGGTTAAGGATTATTTGGAAAAAATTTTCAAAATGGGAAATACGACTGATTACAGCGATCAAGCATGTGCTGCCTTACAATTACTATGCAACGTAGCACTGACTCCCAAAGGTTGTCACCTTCTGGACGGAAAATCCAAAGAGCTCCTGGGGATGTTGGCGACGCGTGATCCTTATATGCTGCGACAAGTCCTGTCTGTATTACTAAATCTGTCATGCGACAGCAATAGTTCTACCTTACTTTTGCATGCAGAGGTAATTCTGTTTTTCTGTCTCGTGCTTGCTTATTCCTAGGCTCCTGACGGTCTAATGGACACGGTGGTTTTTGCTCTTTCACCTTCCGTACAACCACTTGTTTCCGTACAAGCAGTGACGTTGCTAAAAAACCTCTACAATGCTATGCGTGTTCGAGGTACTTCCAAACAAAGTCAACAATTTGTTTCCCCCGGTTGCACGATGCAAGATTTCCTCTTGGTAAGTTGAATGTCAAACCCCCAATGGAAGTTTCAATGCATATTATTTGGTTAGCTTAGATCCATTGTTTTTAATTTGTTATTGGTCATTATGAGGAAAGTTTAGAATCCAATTTCGTGATCGGAATTCTGGTGTTAGTTTCTATTGTTAATTTTGCGCAACTTTCTCTCGCCATCGGCGTTGGTGACGAGGTTTGGTCACAAGTCCAGAGATGTAAATTAAAAGTAAACCGAAGCAATTTATCCTGAGCTTCACTAACATCAACCACATTTGGGGTTATCTTGGGAGACACATTCCTCAGCCCCGTCTAGATCGAGTAGTTGTCTGGACAAATGTACGGTTGTGTCTTCTAGAACCTGATCAAACCACGGAAGACTATCGCTGAAACCGTTTTTATTACCAGGTCTCTTTGTCTTGCCTCGTCGAATAACCCAATTATCCCAAGTGTCTGCACACCAAAGGTCGGACACGCCTGACTTCCCTACTTTTTGTGGGTCGTAATGATCATGTCTCGCAGGTTCCCGTTTCTGTGACATCCTTCTGCGTTGTAAAATCCTCAGTACACTATAAAAACAATCACTATGACGGAATTGAACTTTCCCTTTTAAACAATCTGTGTACGGATGTAATTTTAGATCACGATTTTCTCAGTCAACATAAAAACAGTTATTCCCTTTCACGGACACTGTCCATCTCTTTCCCTATGTGCTCTCAATGCTGCATACGTCGATGCTCCTCCCCTATTCAGGCATTTATCGCCCAATTGTGTTCCCATCACCACTAAATCACGCCGTCACTCTGCCTCGGATCTGTCGTTCATCGAGACCGAAATCCGAAAATTATTGGTCGGCCATATTATCGAGCCTGCAGACTCACCCTGGCGAGCGCAAGTCCTTGTGGCTACAAATGAGAGACAAAAAACGCATGGTTGTCGACTACAGCCAAACAATAAATCGATTCACTCATCTTGATGCATACCCTTTCCCAACGAACTAGTAGAGAGAGTGTCTCACTACTCCCTCTTCAGTACCCTCGTTCTTCAAAGTGCTTACCATCAAATCCCATCCTCGCAGAAAAATACCTTATACAGCCTTTGAGGCATACGGTAAGTTGTATCAATTCCGCTGCTTTCCATTCGGAGTTACGAACGGAGTGGCCTGCTTTCAACGAGCTATAGATAATACTATCCGTGAAGAAGGCCTACGAGATACTTTTACCTATGTTCACAGTGTCACTGTTTGCGGCTGTAATGCATAAGAGCACAATGCAAATCTCAAGAGCTTTCTGGAGGCTTCCAATAAACGTGGAATACTGTTCAACGAAAGTAAGAGTATCATTTCTCCCACCAAGATTCAACTCCTGGGATACGAAGTCACACATGGCATGGGTAAACCTGAACGATTCCGCGATCTACGAGAGTTATCTGCACCTTACGAAATTCACTCACAGAGAAGAGTAGTCGGAATGTTGGCGTATTTTGCCCAGTGGATCGCTCATTTTTCTGATAAAATTTTGGTAAACAACCGGACATTTCGTCTACGACGAAATTGAACAGGAACGGCAAAATAGGGCATCCTTGACGAACGCCGCTGCTGGTGACGAACAGCCTACTTAGTTCGTTGTAAAACCTTACACGACCGGAGGTATGTGAGTACAGTGACCTCAGTAGGTTAACGTACTTCTAGGGCATTCCTTTTTGAAGAAGGGAGCCCATCAGAGCTTCGCGATCAGCTGAGTCGAAGGTTCCTTTCAGGTCAAGGAACACTGCGATCGTTGGCCGACGGTGAGTATGATGCAGCTCAAGGATCTGACGCAACGTAAAAATGTGATCAATACATTCACGGCCAGGCCGGAAACCGGCTTGCTGTTCACAGATGTTCGTCTCTCTTAAAGGCGTCAGACGTCGAAGCATAACCGAAGCTAGCACTTTGGTGACGATCGGAATCAAATTTATCCCGCGGTGGTTTTCACAATTGTTGCGGGATCCTTTCTTAAAAATGGGAACGATCAGTGATTAGCCCCAAGATGATGGGATATGCTCTTGCATGCAAATGTTGTGCAGTGGTGTATTAATAGAGGTCACGAGGTAATCACCTCTCATCGTGAAAAGAGTGGGAGGAAGCTCATCCGGTCCTGCTGCCTTTCATCGCTTCAGAGCTTGAATGCAAGACCGAACTTCGGCTTCCGTTAGAGGATCGCATGACACTGCCCACGGAGCTTCAGTTGGAGATGAAGCAGCCTGGTTAGCACTAGGCCAGCTGAACTGTTCACTGAAGTATTCTGCCCAGCGATCGAGTCGTCGATCCCTATAGCTTCTCCCCTATTATCGCAGACCGTTTCATCAACTGAATTTCGCCGACCTCCCGTATTGCGTATCAGTCGGAACAGCCTTTGACTATTCCCCGATGCAGCTGCTACTTCCATTACACTAGCTATCATTGCCCACCAGTTCTCACGGTTCTTCTTGAGGCTCTTCATGAGCTGGCGTTTTAGCTGCCGCCTAACTCTATTTTGATCCTGGCAGGTCGGGATGTTTCGTTTTCTCTCCATCAAAACTAATGACTCCTGAGATATCCAATACCTCCGACGGGTTTGAGGCTCAGACCCACAAGCAACATTCGGTGCGGAATGCATTGCTCGGCTA